AATTGTACTTAATATAATTTCCAATAGCAAATGATTAGCTATAGTCATATTATGATATGAGGAAATATTCCATTGTCGAGTAGTTTTTGCTTAGTAAATAGATACCGCAGTAACTGATTCATCCGCACATAAAGATCATTTACCTTTTCACTTCAGTGGTCTTAGCTAACCTAGACCTCTTCACACTGGGCTCAATGTAAAGAGTTGTACCTATATATACTATATCTAGATGTAGATATATAGAAATATACTATGTCTACATGCATGAATAATGGTTGTATGATTTTTTCAGAATCTAGTGTTTGTAACAAACACGCTCGACTATTTTTATGGTACATCATGTGGCGCAAAAACCAATCCACAAATGGATCTTATAGCCTTCGAAAAATATTTTTGATGATATTTGTTGTATATCGACCATAAACTAAGATTACTATAGCGCTGATGCTCACAAGAAGTAGAGGTCTATTTTTACACCGATAGATAATCGAATCGGCTCCTTAGATTCAACGGGGGCTCCCATGACGATATATATCCTTTTTTTAATATATGTACGCCAAGCGTATAAATACGCCTAATAATAAGAACGGATATTCGCTCCGTTTTCATAGTAAAATCGTTAACGAGTGCAAGGGAGCGCATACTATATGCAAATGTATATACATTATATAAAAAAATCCCATGAGAGCACCTTGATTCACTGAATGAAAAGTTAGAAAAACAAGTCCATCCCCCTTTCAGTAAGCTTGAACAAATTACAATAGATGCGAGCAGAGGGTCTAGGGGCAAATATTTGTTGTTTCTGAAGAGGCTTTAAGCCCTAAATTCACTAGATGGACTGGTGCTAAGTAGTGGGGCGTTATCTGTGCATAGTCCAATTTTTCCTTGGTTGCTATTCAATTATACAGATAAACACTTCGATAAATACCTGACGTTTTTGAGTTGCTGTTATCATCTACGTGATCCTTTCATTCTGCATCGTGCAAATTGACTTGTATTTATATTAAATTTTCCATTCACAGACCATGACGACCCATCTAATGACGGAATTGTTTGTCGGGGGAAAGGTCAAATGGTTTGCCAGCCGCTTTTTCCTCGTATTATTAGCGCCTATTATCTATTACAGGACATGCTTAATGAATTTAGCTTCTAGAACATAATCATTTGCTGGAAGGATATTGCTTCGTCATGGCTTTTATGTGAACAGATATATGGCAATTCTTCATAGACTGCCCCAGCGTTTTCAGAGTTGATCAACTACTTTCCTTACAGAGCACGCAAATGCTTTACAAAGGAATGGTAGAAGCATATTAGACATGCTAAACCGTCAGCCTTGCTCTACTAAGCTAGTCCTGTTGAAATCTTTATTTATTTCGACTATTCAATTGAACTTTCGATATTTTGTTCTTCTTACAGTTGATGTTTACGGTAGCGAGCTTGGGACACTGCCGAACTCGAAGGCATTTTATTTCGAGTTTACGCCCCATCTATACAAAGAATTGAGTGATCGTAATTTTGTCCTAAGTACTGACTGACAATGGAATTATTTGTCACCGATATAAACGTCATCACACTTTCTAAAGGCAAATTACTTCACGGCGTGTCGTGGACTTTAGGCCCACTGCGAGTGTACCAACAGGCTCCGAACACGTAGATAATCAATTTCGATGTTAAAAATTGTTAGGCCGAACAATTAACTGCTATTAGGCGCTCAGAGGGTAACTCTAAATAACGTTGCTATGGTAATTTAGTGAGTAACGTATTTGCATGCCAAACTTTAGAAGTACGATGTTGTGATCTAGGTGCTAATCCGGAGATAGACTTATTTCGTTTAATGCTGTGACCCAACCAACCGTCTGCCTGAATGCCCAACGGCGATACCGGACGTAAGACCCGAAACATAGGGATAATAGTGAATGACCATCCCCAACAGAGGTCACTGTATGCGTGTGCCCTAAGTTGTGCCACCTTCGGATCGTTTCCGGCTCACCTGACTGAGTTGGGTAAATCAGTTTCTGTTTCTATATACATAGTCCTTGTGTGATTGATAGTAAATCGCCTCTTAGAAAAAAATTTAATCACGCTGATATTTTTCAACACGAACTTAACAAGCTCTAACTGAGCTACTGTTAGTTGACTTGAATAAATGTACAGAATTTAGTTACCAGTACCTAAGCACATGTTCTTCCAGTATATCGAACGAAAGGGCTTGCTTTTTCAAGCTGGGGCCCATAACTTTAGGCATGTGTGTGCTTTCACGACGTTTTTTACCAAATTGCTGCAATGAATATTCTACACGGTCGTACCTGAGTGCACAAAAAATGGGTCTAATCATATCGCAGCAGTTCTTCTGTGTCGACAGGTTATCCGAAAAGGCTGTAGGTTTGTTTTTCGCACTCTTTTGGTGTATGCATCTATATAAAAACACACCGATGTGCTATAAAAACCTTTTAGAGAACGTAAGCACATAAGTATTTGCGAAACGCAGGTACTCGTATTCCTCTACTGAATAACCTTTTGCATGCCCTTGGCGCAGCCTGTTCCAATTAGGACATTCGCCACAGAATTTGAGAAGGTTACCTTCCGAGCACGGAATGAGAATCGATGGCTTATGAAATTGATTTTAGAAATATTGGCCTGTTAGCAAGGTTTTTGAAATTCTACCTGGGGAAATTTACCATCCTACAGCAAGGTTTCCGCGATACAACCTTAAGGCTTTGCTTATTGATTACGTGCAGGTTGGCGACGGAAGAAAGATTCTGCCTGGGACTAGCTAGACAAGCGGTATTGAAAGACTACGTCAATTACTCTTGTCCATTTGTCCTAAAAATGTACTTATACTACCGACTGCCAGCGCTTGTGAGACCTGTGAATGCGTGGCTGAACTGCCAGAAGAATGGAAACGGGTTGGGGTTTAAACGTGAATGAGTTACCCTCAGGCCAGTGTTCGAGTACAAAACTAAACTCTTGGGGCTCGTCGTACATAAAAATCGTAATGTGTAATATATGTTGATATCGGACAAGCACTCGACATACAATGCCCTTGGGGTCCCTGACCGTTTACTTTTAAGACGAACATAAACATATTTAGAACAATTACTCTGAATGAGAGCCAATTGTGTTTCCGTTCTGTCTACTCAATAAAAGCTGGGACATATAAACCATAAGTTTTATACAAGACCATCGCACGTACATCTTGAATCCAAGGAGCCGGCGCAAATCTTTAAAGGTTCGGCGTCTTTTTCTTTTATAATGGAATCAAAGTGCTGATTCAAATAAAATAAGAAGCGCGTCTCTCAGAGGAGAGTAGGAGAATGCAACGGAGCCGTGAAGTCTAACAAACACTAACCACTATCATTTGCTTCTTGCTTTACGTACCAGGATCCCAAATCTGCGAGTTCGAACCCCCGTTGTCCACAGTGCTCGAATCAGCGGTTCGTTTAATTCACAGCCTGTCCCAGCTGGAGGATACTGACGATACTGGATAATTCAATAGCTTCGATGAAGAGCTAGAAAAACGATCTGCGACTAGCAAGACAAAATCGACCTAGCTTGCAGCCCGATCTGCCTGGGGAAAAGGGGTAAGGTAGATAAAAGTCTGCCTTCGCATCACATATCGTCCTCATATGACACTGGTGGCTCTCTGTTGCCACTAGTTAAATATCAGCATCGCGACAGGCTGCGTCCCGTCAGCCGGGAGGGAGCACGTTCATAGTGTCTGCTCCAGGGTCTGTCTTCTGTTCCAGCGCTCATTGTCCGTCACGCGCGCTTCGAACAATGGAATGTTATTCATGTCACGCGGCGCTCAACCACATCATATTTCGGGCGTGGACCGAAAAACGAACGGCCAGGCACGCAGCTTGTCCTTGAATGGAACGAGCTGTCAAAGCCTGTTGTTGGCTGTGGTCCCTTACCGCTGCTGTGGCGTGTCTCGCAATTGCAATTCCCGCGTCATCCTCTCTTTTTTCTTTTTTATCTCTCTTTTTCGTTCTGGACTTCGTAAAAGCATCATACTTACATTGGTCTGTACAATCGGCTGATACTCCACTCGGTTCTTCTTAGGCAAAAGATAGCAGCGAACACGATAGGAACTATAGGGCGTATTTGACAGTGCGAACAGGACGAGCCATTGCGACTTTAGCTACAAAATATGGCAGAAATAAAAGTAAAAGTGTCTAGTGAAACGCTTCCTATAGTCAAACGTTTTTTTACTTTTTTTTTTTTCGTAAACTGCGTACCGCTCCACATACGTTGTTATTAGAGAGGTATAGTTATTAAACTAGCTTGGGCGCATCTAACTGACTCCAACAAGACGAGCAGAGATAATAGTGGCAAAGTAGTATTCTTCAACGACGCTCAAATCGAATTTGCGCAGCGGATCATTCCATTTGTTTTGATGTCTGTCGCTGCTTTTATAGTTAGTGTAAACGAGCTGAAATGGTGAGTTTTTTTTCCATTTAATGATGAATTATATATCACTTTTTAGAGACCGGCTTTTGCATACTCTCAATGCTAGCTCTAGCCGCTGATTAATTTGGGGCTGACTAACGATGAGTAAAAGGACTCTAGTTTTTTGTTTTTCTTCTAGATGGACAAGTGTTTGAAAGTGTGGCACGCAAACTACTTTGCGTAAGAACCACTCGATTTGTATAAGGTGAAAGCCAGACATTTTGTTTAATGCTTTGTTTATCCGCCAGACACGCCGTAACTATCTGACTAAGAGACGAATAATTCCAATTCATTTACCAGAGGACCCAATAATTTCGGGTATTAATATGAACGTTAATTGACAAAACATCGCCAAAAACAGCCATTTAGTCAAAAAGCATCGAATTTTAAGTGACCAATCGCACTATCGTCATCTGTAGATTCGTAACCATTTTCATTGTTTTTTTTTTATGGTCTGTGAGTGTGTTACTTAAAAACAAAACACTGTCATTAAGAAAGTCATCATTAAGGAAGCATGCTATCAATGTTATTCCTTCCCTAAAACTCTCCTCGTATCCTGTTATGAATTTAACATGAATGAGCATGTAAGTGATCTATTTGTGTCTGTAGCAGTCAGCTCCAAAGTCGAGATTTTGATTTCTCCGAAATTTGCTGGATTTGAAACTGTCTATCAGCCATAGCGTGCTCCATTGATTGGAACGGTACATGACTGATTCTAGCCGAACCTCTAGAGTACCCCGGTACCCAACCGAATCCTTAGTCGAGCTCTGCGAAGTCATAAAGATAGGCAAGAATGTTTTTTCTCTTGGTGGTTTGGATACTAACATAGAGACATTTAGTAAGTAAGTAAGTTCTTTAGTAAGTAAAGTAAACACTTCTATCGTGGGATTCTTTTTCACATTCATCAAATACTTTTATTGTTGGGATATTGATATTCTTCCAATTTTTAATCTGCATTTTCTGCTCTTTTGTTTAATAGGTATATGGAAATACACTATACCACACTAAGCGACCTGAGACGCGTGGTTGTTTTCGTAAATGTTACGAAATTATCCTCAAATTTGATGCAACTGCTGTAAGTTTCATTATCAAGTGCAGCACTGATAGAATGAAAATGTGTTAACTCAAATTTATAGTACTTGGGTTATTTAGCCGAAGTACTTACTATAAATCTCAAGTGTCCCCTTGATGAACTTGAATCTGCTGGCGCCATTCATAAACTGTACGTTGCCGTGGAGGGGGAACTTTAGTTTCAAATGATTTAACTGCTACAATTGCGCTGGTTTCTCTTAGTGGACAGTAGTATTTCATAGTCCCATACCCCCTAATTACGGATCTGATGTTCAACTGGACTGCAAGAACAGTTAGAAGAAGTTAGGCTCAGCCACGATCACGAGTCACTGTTTCTTCAAGTTTTAAGAACTTGTAAAGCACTGTGCTTTTTATGTAATGCAATTATGATTCCCGGATATTTTGTTGTGAATATTATAATGATCTTTTTCGAACCGCTAAGAGCTCTCATTTTCATCAAAAAAAAAATATTATATTCACCGTGCATATGCTAAAGATCAACGTGGGCACCTATTCGCTTCACAATAATACACGATTTCATATTCTGGCATTTGAAGGTAAGTATAGAGATAATTGACCATACGTTGAGTTAGTTTCGGAAAAGTGCAGAAGAGCAGCCTAGAAATCGAATATAGTGTTTCTTACTTGGATTCTGCTGACCATTCGGCTACTAAATTATAGAAGTTCCTCCAGCTTCTTCGGATTGTTCATTGTGACGAATCACCGTTTAGTTTTCAGCTGTTTTCTTCTTTTACAACCAGTGTAACAATAGGTTTTTCTTCCGATTTTTAATTTCTGAAAATGTAACTTAATTAAACGGCTCTTCGAATAGTGAAAGACTCTGGGCTCGCTTTTCAGACTTGTCCCTATTTTTTAAAGCTTACTATTTGTTTTTTATGTGATGAAAATGTGATCAAATATTTCTGGCCATGTTCCTCTTCTAAGCACCGATCTGTCAATCAATGTTACGTTTTATGCACACAGAGCTATGTAGGACGCTCTGTACGTTCCTATCTAGAGGCCTCTTCTGCTTCTGCAGCACCACATTGTGTGCGGCACGAGTCCAGGCGCAAAAGCAAAACAGTAATAACAAGCAAGACAAAGCGGGGGAATTGTGTGTAGCTACAGTCGGGTCTGATTTAAAGAAGCACCGCGCAGAGGTAGAATTAGATTTTTACCAAATACATAGGGTTCAAATGCAGCTAATAGAAAAAAACAAATCGAAGGTCTTTGCACCGTAGTCATTGGCGTTTGCCATATATCACGGGGCCAACAGATGCCCCTTTACCCAAAGGCCTCATCAGGACAGTGGAACAGAGTCAGCAGCTGAACTGAGCAAGGCAATCTGCCCTACCATGTTTGCTTAATGAGTTCACTTTTATTTCACGTACAATTGAGGTGGCTGCGTATGTTTTTTAAAGCTGTCAACGATATTCCGATTTGAACGACATGGAGACAACATAGGCTAAATAACGCCTCGATTCATCAGACCCAAACCGCAAGCACGTTCATAGTGTACTTATTAAATGGGACAGAATAAAGAGTCAAAATAAATAGAGTGATTGCTTGAAAGATGTAAAGGTTTACTCAGTATTGTCATTCACCGAAAATATGGCTTAATCACACTGTATATACGACATAATTATGTGGACTATTCATTGGTATTTTTGTGAATGATACTACAGGAGCTGTATTTCGGCTGCGCAAGGCCTGCAATTTGTATTTGTTTTAACTGAATGAAATATTAGGCTATCCAATAAGTGGGTTAGCTTTTCCGCGGGATTGAAATGCTATGAGTTTGCGGCTAAAACTACCTTCGACTTTTAAAAAATTATTTCTTTGCTTTTTCAAAACTTTTTTTTCCGTTGCACGTTGATTCGAACCACAGTCGCCATTCATACTTTTTATGTTTCAGAAGCTTCAGGTTCTCTGAGCTGTCTACGTGCAGGGTGGCTCGGACTATAACAATTTTTGTATCTATAGGAAGTTGCCGTAAAAATGTCTCTTCACTTCCCGACGAAATTATGTCGCCTCGAGCCTGTCAATAACAATATGCACATGGTAATGAAGTTGTCGGCAACAGCACTTCCACCGGGTTCGCTTACCTTTCTGTCTTTTAGACATTCCACTTTGCCTGCAAGCAACTCAGGATAGTGTCAATTCGCAGCTGCTCAGAACCTAAGATGGTTAGTTTTTTTTGCAAGTGTTGTGATTCACTTCACAGCGCCGTCCGGAGCATGGTTCGTAGTTAAAATCGAGATAATCGATTCTAAGGAACTAAAGTAAGTTAGTTTTGGCAGATACTCTCAAGCATTTCTGATCTCCTTTTACCTTCACACACGACCCCCCATGTTCCAGTCGGCACACTTAGCCGGGTAGCACAGGTGAGGACAATTTTAGATAAGCAACTTTTAACATATCCTATGTAATCGCGCACAGAATTGCCACTGATGAAAAATAGTACAACAACAGTAGACCAGTCTAGATAGGCGGCGTGTGAAGTTTGGAACTTGAAATAGTAGAAATACAGCACTATCGTTAATGCTTACTTGTCAGTGAGAGCCATAAGTGTGAAATAGCCTTTAAATGTTTTCATGGATCTTTGTTGCGAAAATCCTTGGTCGCTGCTGACTCTAAATATACTGACGTATAGAGTAACTGATTATTCGATCAAGACCATGGCTTTTCAAAACAATTAGTTCAAGGACAACGAATTAAACCGTTTTCTGTTCACGTATAACCTTACCCTTGATGGGGTTGCCCGATCAGTTATTGAAAACTTGCCTCGTCCAGGATTCCTTCATGTTTTGTTCGTAGCAGCTATAAACCTGTGTTGTTTCTTCTTTGATGCCTGTACACAGAAAGAACTCGAGGCCGGGTGCTGTTACATAGAAGTCTGTGATTCAAAAGTTAATCATGCGCAGAAGCCTGCTAGTCGGTTTGGCTGTTATGTGATGCACATAGATGGCTCCACTAAAAACACATTCACTTTAATGCTAGTAATACCGAACCGGGCAATGCTCACTTAATGTACACTTAGATTTTGCTGAAAACCCGCCGAGGATTCATTTCAACGATTTTTAACTCTATTAAGAAGACAGGTCATAACTTCACAGCTGAGAGATCACTTCGCTGACAAATTAGACCTTAGGACACAGGTTCCTACTACTTATATGACGTATTTATACTTGATTCCAAATATGTGTTCCCTGCGAGTATCAGTCACAAACTATATTGTGATGATTTTAAATCGTTCGGAACTTGGGACGTAATACAACGGAACTCCTATAATCTGCATCCGGTTGTGAAATAACGCTGATACCAAAACGCATATTGTTTATTGTGATGATATTGATTCGCTTTGTACTTTTAATAGTACCCTGCTAACCCAGTTTAACTAGGATGTTAACGTTTCTATTAGTTCTCCTTAGTTATTTGGATATTGTTCAAGTTTAACTATTGATATAATGAGGCATTGTACCGAAGAAACCGACTCCTTCATCGAGCTTTCTAATGGCCTATATCTATGAAAATATAGCGTCCTCATTGTCCAAAGAAGTACATTGAAGCACTTAGCAGTATTTCGAAACGGCTCGCACACGACGTTGAGTCATAAATTAATTGTTATAAGCGCGGTCAAACTGAAATAAGCCAGTCAACTCAATTTATAGCTTTATGCAATAATAGTAATTTCTATTTGAAGAATAGCTCGACAATATACGTTGAAGTGACACGATTCGAACGTTCGCTTAGATTAATATTGAAGATGAGTTCGTATTGTATAGAACGCACCTGATCCTATATACAAATCTATGTTGAAGTCTATTGCGGTTCAATAAGGACACCAATTCACAGCGGCGCAGATTTAAGAAGCAGAGCCATAACGAGTGAAATATATTTATGTTTCCACGCAAACTCCCAACCCAGCACGATCCTGTGCCCTATTTTATTACCAACGCTAATTTAGTCATCATATAATAGAACGTACTTCATCAGCATAAAGAATCTCACTTCATTTAGCCTTATTGCGCAGAATCGGATTGTATATGATCGCATGAGACCGCCGTCATTTGCGGGCTTATTTTGCCTATTGCTAGCATCTCTTATATGGATCTGATGTGGGAGAGCTTCTAAATATAATCAGACAGGTTCCCAGATTTATGACAGTTCCTCGCTCGTAATTGATATTAATACGCTAGCTGGCCGATAACGTCCGATAAACGACTTTTCAGATGTAATCTGTCAGTGATGGGTCAGAAAAATAAGTGACGTATGATTTTTATGACGTATTTTTATTTTATTGATCAGTGAAAATCGTTGAACTCGATAGAGTAGAGTGCTCGTCTTTGTAACAAACGATCTATCGTGGACTGCTTTACTTTGCCGTTCTAATACTTGATATAATTGTGTCTATCTACTCTAAACAACAAAATCGGTTTTTAACAAGAAACATACGCTTCTCCGAAGTGTAGGAATAGCTACCCCGTGTTTTATACAAATTCTTATGTGCGGAGTACATCGATATTGGTCAGAACCTTGACGAGGCATACGAAGCAAGAAGGTACATAGCGAAATAACAACATAAACAACTACTGCTATTATATAATTACATAAAGATCGTTTTGCGTTGAGCTGTGCTGGAGTACGTTTTTCGCCAGTCACATGCTTGCTGTTCCGCCTGCTGTTGATTTGAAGTAATCGAAGAAGCAGGTTGTCCCAGCGGGCCTCCGACGATGCCTAAGCTTCCCTTAAGTTTACCATAGCGAAGCAGCGTTTCCCCCAGATGACCACTGGCACGAGCTTTCATCAAAGGCATTGATTTCTTAGAAATGCAGGAACCAGTCGAAAGCTATCTTAGTTTAGTTGGCGCACGATGTATATACATGTACATGTATATATATATATATATATATATATATATATATACCCAGAAAAACGAGAGGCACTTATCCACCTTCGAACTGGTTTGAAGTTTTCCGACTGAAACTGTGTCACTAATCGCTTTATATCTACCATGCCAAATACTACCCTTTCTTACTTAGGCGTAATATACTCACATTGATTCACAGCATATCTGACCATATATCGTAGCGGTACATGCTAAAAGCCAAACTTTTAGATTGTAGACCTATGTACACAGTCGGCTGTTGGCTTACTTTTCTTTCACTAGCTGTACAGGAGAACATCACATGTTTCTAGAAAGACTCGAGTGTCGCGGGAATCTCTATGTCTGACCACTGGTACACTAGTTTTTTGGAAAGCAGCTTTCACAAAGGTCCCATAAGGGCTTTTAGGAATAACCTTGCCAATACGTATAGGCCGAAACATAATTTTCGCCAAGATTTATGAGCTAACTGCCTGCAAAAGAAATTTCATGCGTTACCTCGGGGTATAGCTGAATGAAACTAGAGTAACAGACCACTCGTAACAGAAATGTAAAAATTAAGTAACGTAGTAACACTACAAGTATCAGACACTACGAGATTGGCTCGTTGATTAACTGGGCCTAACACGTGAGGGAGCGATGATTGCAGAGATCGATTGACCTGCAAATGTGTGCCTATTTGTATGACCAAACCAAGTTGCTCATGGCTACATTTCTAAAAATTAGTAGAATCTATTTAGTAAATGCTTATAACAAATGAATAAACAAAAAACATGTTTATTTAGCAGGCGAATGTTTATTTAAGTAAAGTAAAATTTGCGACAATTTTTCCTATTTCCGCCGTGTAACAAGGCGAGCATCTGAAACGTTTGTAATGATAGCTGCGTACATCTAAAAGGAAGCTGCTATAGCTGCACTATTTTATACTCTCTCGTCTTTTAGACGAACACTTAAATGTATGCATGCTTTTTCTAAATCTAAATATCTCATAAAGAAATTTTCAGGTAACGTTATCAAATAAAATTGTGTTGACTTTAAGTCACACGGGCTTTGGCAAAAGCTAGATTTTTTATATGGTATACAAAGTGATGCTTTCAACTTGTCGAAACTTTGCTACGTTGTTTGTCGTGTCAACAACGTACGTTTATCCGCTAGTTCTGGCATCAGACGAGAGCTAGTGATTTTAGAACTTTATGATATACTTGTCACGATAAACAGTAGTATGTCATTTTCAGAATCTTACCCAAGATCAGCAACTATCTGGTCTTTTCCCAGTGGGTGAACTTTCGTCAAGATTAAAAACTTCTTGAAACCAATGATCAGCTGCTAAGAAAAATCCGAATAAAACTTCCGTAAGACAAAACGAAACATTCGCAATGGGCTAGTTTAAATTAAAACAGATTGAAAATTTTTCAAAATGGCTCAAAAAGTCAAATTTAACACAGCAGGATCTTTGATTCAAAGATTAACGACTGTTTTGGTAAGCACCAATTATGTGTTACCAACTTTTAGTTAGTCTTGTGTGGTTTTTGTGTGCGCTTCAGTTTTTTTTCGCCGTTCTGAGCCCTCGCATTTTCGTTGCTTTTGGCCTACTATCAGCCTAGAATTTAACTACGCTTATGCTTCTTCATATATAGCATACTTGAGCTACACTCTAACGAGTTCACACCTACCCATGTTGCTTGAAATATGGCTACTATTCAGAAGTTATTTACAGATTAAAGAACGAACCTCTTGGAAATGGCTAGTTAATCGTTCAGATCCCAAACTGAATCTGTAATTGTGGTATGCGGTAATTATATTATATGAAATGGCCACCGGGAATGACTCTTCTAGTTTATGCGGACACTCTGTTGAAACATTTTTTTGTTCAAGTATCATCTAGAAATCTAGAAAATTCTCAATTTAGACGTTCCATCCTGTGTATTGTAAGTTCTTTACCAATGCCATATGCTGTAATAGGTAGGCAACGTTGAGTTACTCTTACGTTTGTTCATAGAATGTGGGCAAAATGAAGCCCTTTGAAGTAAGGTGTCACCCTCCAGAAAACAAATTAAACCTACATGCATACACTTCCTTAGCATGCTTAGCTTTTAGAGCAACACGTAGGCACTATCTTTTAGTGGTATGTAGCGCACTCTAACAGGTGGTACGGTTTCATTAGACGTACTGTAATAAAAAGCAAAAACGGAGCACTCAAAGTATTACATTATGGTGTATACAAATTACCGGCTGTAACAGTCCTTTAGTACGTCCTAAAATACGTGAACTTGCCTCGTCCCTTTCCATTCCTCCTGATGATAGTCTAGCAACACATTTGCGTACTAAATTTACAGAACTCTGACGAAGGTCCGCTTTACAACCAGGTGTAGACGTACTACATTTCATGCTGGAGCCCAGCCGTTTGAAGTAGTCCTTAACGGCAATACCAGACAAAAAAACTCGAATCATCTGTTCCTTTAGATTAGTAAACTGCTACATTGTGCATATCTGTGAAAGTATGCATAAATACCTTATATATGGTGTTGCAACTAAGGTATTTGCAAAATCAGTTTCTTTTCCAAAGGCTCACAGAATGCAGGTATCGATTTTCCCTCATCATCTGCCATATAGCGGTCGATAACAGAACTGCATCATCCGCTTCTACACCCACACCTGACGGGTTCTTCCCTGATGCTAGTCGCGAAATAATTAAGAAAAACGTGCGGTGTCCGCTAAGTAATACTCGATTTCAATACGGCAGATTTGGTTTAATGTTGTCTCCGTCTCTCGCTCTCGCTCTCGCTCTCTCTCTCTCTCTTCTCTCACACTCTCCCCCTATATATATATATATATATATATATATATAGGTAATACGCCCATTTGTTTAGGAGCAACTTCCAAATGACGCCAACATAAATAACTCAACGTAATCTATACACAAATCTTTCCTGATCACAAACCTTATACTTTTAAAGTTTATACCGAAGACAAGATTAATAATGTGAATTTCCTTAGCTTTCCGCATAGGAGTCAATAATTAAACTGTATCTTGAGTGTATATATCATTAGAAAAAGCGTCCGATTTTCCTTATATTGGTTTTGGTTAAATATATAAGTTTATCTTTCCTGTGCTTCTTAAATACATTAGTAATATAGAAAATATTTTTTATAAGGCAGCAATAAATATTATTATTGATACATTCATGAGAGAATTATTGAATTATTTATTTTAACGTTTTTGGTTATTTCTGCTATGCGAACAAGCCCTCGAAATCACCTCTTCGATAGAGCATAAAGGACTTGCTGCCAGTAAAACGTCTAGCCG